TAAAGGAATTTGATTTGACAAAAGGCGCGATTCGATCGATTCAACTGTCACTAGGAGACAAGTGCTGCCACCTGTCGCGACGTTGTGTGAAATGATAGTCATAGTGATGTTACGGAAACCGTAAAAGTTAATTTTACCGATCTTTATGAGAATCGGATAAAATTAAAAACTGATGCTCGTGCCTTGCCGCGCTTGAAATATAACCTACGTTAGTCATTGATAAAATTTTAATGGAGGGAAAGAATTTTTGACATCGGCCCAGTAGTTTTTTTAGTTAATTCAATAGGTACAATACTACAAATCTTTTCTCTTTATAATGTTAGTGTAAATTATATTCACAGAAATCTATGCTGTGATGAGTAAAAGATCATACAAAGGTCATCCGTTTTTAATTATTGATGTTAGTGGTTTTTACTGCTTGTTTCAGGTTGTCACAGCCAGTACCTTTTTTAATAAGTAATTTCTCATAACAATATGTAGCCTCAAAATACCTGCCCTTTTTTAAGTTAATCCAAAAGGGTGAGGTTTTTTGAAACCACGTTAAACCAAGGTTATAATTAGCCCAGAAAATATCGAGGTTTCCTATTACAATTTTTTAACAGCAAGAATATGATGCAGGTTACTAAGAGCCCACGTTTAAAAGGATTATTCGTTGGCCGCCATGACACTTGAGCATCGAAGATGAGAAAAAAAGGAAAAATAACTGTTGGGGATTAGCTGCCAGTGTCAAAGTGTTAAATATCGAACACACGGCGTCTAATTTGACAACTGTGGCCGAAAACCTCGGGTCTGTGCCTTGTCTGTGCCAACGCGAGGTGAATAAAAAAATAAATATTTGACAAGGTGTGTCGTATTTCTGTTGAGATGTGACAGTTCGATTTGAAACTATGTCGCCGCTTCAGAGTTGGCGATGCCTTAATCTCTAGCTAGGATGAATACGTTTTTCATTTAGACACGGACAGACAAACGAAATATTATAGCAGTCAAGCATCAAGCAATATTTTTCAACTACGTAGGTATGTATTTTCAAATAAATGATTTTTTTATATTTCATGAATGTATAATACTTGTCACTGCTTGATGTATGCGAAATCATGACGTAATTATTTAATTATTTCTTAAATTACCGCGTTGCAATAGATGGAAAAGATAATTTAATTTACCTTTAAAACTACACAGGTGTATGAATACGTAAAAAAGACATGTAAAGAATATTGTATTCTGTCATTTATCTCTATTTTTGTCGGAAGCTTAGTTACCCTACAGATGAATCATTTTCCCGATAAAATGTAGATTGAATTTCATTAATAATTCTACGTACAAACTGGTTCACAGATATAGTTTGTTTTTATATGACAAAGGATAAAACAAACTCAAGTGAACCTATGCTATGAATATGACCACCCACGTTAACATAAAAGCACCCCATAAGAGTTTCCATTGCTCAAGTGTATTTAGAGCGGGCGCACACTTTTGACTAAACTATCGCACAACTGTAGTTTGATTGTCGATTGTTTCCCAGCCAATTCAAATGTTTATTGCACAACTAAAAATCGAGTATTGTGCGTATTAATATTATAAAATAGAATGTTTTGTATGTACCGAATAGACTCAATATTTACTTGATCGATTTCAAAATTTCTTTTGCCATTAAAAATCTACATCATGACTGAGTAACATAGGCTTTTTTTATTACTAGATATTTAATTTCCAGAGTACAAAGACGTATAAAACTGGCAACATATTTCCATTTTTTGAAAAAAAAATCAAATGCAATTACCGTGACGTTTTTTGTTTTTTATAATAGGGTAGTATGATGACCCCACCCGTCCATGTGAAAATAAAAAAACTGAGTAGCCTAGGTGTTATACCAGGCTATGTCCTACATCTATCCCAAATTTCATCGAGATCCGTTCAGTTGTTTTGACTACAAACTCAAACAAACATCCATCTAAACTTTCGCATTTATATTAATATGGTTATTTTTATTTTTATACGGACAATAGAAGATGGTGTTATCATAATATCTGTAATCCTCCGGGGACAAACAATGCAACCGTAAAAGTGCGCGTTAAAACCACTACGTCACGCACAAAAACCGATAAACAGAAACGCTTCCAAATTCCACATCATTGATCTAGATCGTCTTGTCCACAGACAATGCCATTATTCTTACGAAAATAAACAACCGCATGCTTCCAGTGTCCGATGCTTAAAAATGAAAAAA